ACATGTTTGTGTGCTTCCTCAGGGAGGCCTTCCCTGACCACCCTGTCTGAAATGGCTGTCCTCCCCACTCCTGACCTCTCATTCTCTGTTTTCCCCTCATCTCTTGGTATAAAGTTTGCCACTGTTCTCTGTTTCTGCCTACCCCCTGCCCCCCAGCACATACAAACTAGAATGGTGGTGGTTATTGCTTGTAAGTCTTAGAGTAACCCTGTGAGAAAGCAGGTGAGGCCAGCCCATTTGGTAGCTGAGAAAATGGAGGCTCAGAGAAGTTGGGTAACTTGCCCAGCGCCACACAGCCCGAAAGTAGGTGAGTCTTCTTCACCTCAGAGCCTCCTTGTGAGGGGCTGCTGGGCCTGCAGTGCTGCCTGCAGGCAGGGTGTGTGGGGCCTGTCAGCGTGGAGCCCCTTCTTTGTTGGGGGTGCTGGTGAAGAAAAATAGAGGGTTCCCTTGGAGCCAGAGCAGGCTCATTGATGACCCTTTCCTACAGTCAGTGGTGCACCAGAGCCTGGGAGCATTCTGGCCGCCAGAATGCTGGGCCCCGCAGGGTCGCGGGAGCTGGGTGGTGGCCTGCAGGCCTCACAGAGGCTTCCTTAGAACGAGGCTAGGGAAAGCTCCCTGCAGCATCTCCTGCTCTGGGGTGCACTCCTCTGCTCTGGTGTCTGGTGTGGTGACAGAGGGGTGAGGGAAAGGCCTTGGCTCAGAGGCTGGTGGGGAAGGGGCTTTGAGCCCCACCTCCGTGACCTTGGGCGGGGGCCTTGCACAGGTGTTTCCGGAGCACAGCTCTCCCTAGGCTGTGTTCTAGGTGCCAGGGAAGGGCTGAGGGCAGGGCAGTCCCCGCCCCCTGGAGCTGACCATCCAGTGGGAGGCAGATGGTAAATGTCTGCGTTGCTATTTTAAGTTGATGGTTGGGAGGGATCTTGCCGAGGCGGCGCCGGAGAGCCTGGTGGGGTCTGGGGGAGAGTGGAGCCGGTACTGAGAGCTGCATGTGCAAAGGCCCCGCGCCTGTCCTGCTCTCGAGCCAGGTTTCCTCATCTGCCACGTGGGGATCACCCCGGGAGCCTTGCCTCCCTGAGGCTCTGGCCCTCCAGCTAGCTTGAAACAGGTGCTCAGGGAGTGGGTGCCCCTCCTCCTACAATGGCAGCCTGATCAGCGGCATCTGCCCATTTCCACGAAGGTGGGGAAAATGGTGGGCCCCACTGCCTGGCAGTGTCTCTGGGTACTCCGCTTGGGTGGGTCAAGTCTGCAGCCTCCCCCCGTCCCCACCCCTCCTGCAGGGTGGGCAGCACCCTGCCCCTTGCTCGATCCTCCCCTCCCACCAGCCCTGACCTTGTGCTCCCACAAGTCGCTGTTGGCTGGAGCCCAGAACCTGGGGCCTCTGAGCGAGAATTCCTCCCGGGCTGGGTGACGGCCATCGCTGAGCCTCTCCTGCGCTCCAGGCCAGGCTCCTGCCCTGTCCTTGTCCTCTGTCTGGTCATTGTGCCCGAGGCTTTGGGGCCACACCCCTTGCCTACCCAGTGCCCAGACTTCAGGTCAGCTTGATGGGCTTTGTTTCCTTCATCTTCAGGCTATCACCCTGCTCCGTGTCCCCCCAGCCCCTTCCCTCCGTGGGGACAGGAGGAGATGCCCCCGCCCCCTTCAGGAACTTCTGCCACCCACTCCTGCTTGTCCCTCACCTGCCTTCTCCCTTGGCGGGGGCGTCCTGAGCCTGCTGCCTTCTCTTCTGTGCTCAGGATCTCTGCTCAGCAGCCGCCTGGGTCACCTCACCCCCGTCCTGGGCCCCCACGCAGGCTGGTTCAGGCCCGGGCACAGGGGTGTGTCTGTGACAACCATGGGGGTGAGTGCATGCTTGGCGCAGAGCTGAGCTGGGGCGGTGCGGTGGGGGGTAACTCAGGGACTGAGGATTGGAAGCGCATGATGGGGTTCCCCACATTTAGGCCCTCAGTCTGCGTGGGGCAGGGTAGTGGGGAGCCTTTGCTGCTCCATGCCTCTTTTCTTTTTCCGGGTAATTAGAACTGGTTTGTACGCCAACCCCCCCCCAAAAAAAAAAAAACTACTTTGTTGAGGTGAATTTCACATGACATGCAGCTAACCATTAAAAAGTAAGTGGTTCGGCAGCCTTCCGTACATGCACAGTGTCGGGCAGCCTCCATCTCATTCCACAGCTTTCTCGTCACCGCAGAAGGAGACAGGTCCCCGTTAGCTGGCGCTCCCCTTCCCCTCCCTGGTCCCTGGCAGCCACTGTTCTGTCGTGTGTCTGCTTCCGTTTACCTGTTCTGGACATTTCACAGGAACAGATGACCCCTGTGTGTCTGGCTTTTTTCACCTGGCATACATATGTGTGTGTGTGTGTGTGTGTATATATGTGTGTGTTTATGTATATTCTCCTACCTGGCTTTTAAACTTTAAAAATTTACCTCTCTTGAAGTAATTATAGAGGCACAGACAGTTGCAAAATAGGTACCCTCCCTCCCCCCCACCCGCCCTGCCAGAGCCTTGCAGACCTCTCTGGGGTGGAGGTTTGGGGACAGGACATGAGAAGGGAGGCCCCAACGAGCCACAGTGGCCCTGAGCTGGGACCGCCCCCCCTCCCCAGCAGGCCAGGGGCCTTGCGTGCTGCCCCCTGGGCGGGCTTACCTTCGTGAGGGCGCCGCTGCTCCTTGCAGGCTGGGTGCGGCCGCGGCGGTGGCAGTGGTGGTGGCAGCTGCAGTGGCAGCCGCTGGGCGGGGTGGCCCCTGTCCCCGCCGCCCCCTCCCGCCGTCCCGCTTCCTTTCCCAGCAGCCAGTCGGGGCTCCGACGGCCCACTGTCTCCTCCTGGGTCCTGGTCTGGTGCCCAGGTTGGGGGAGAGGGTAGGATTTCAGCCCTCCCCCAGCAGCTGGCCGGCCGGGAGAGGGGCTGGTTGTATTTTAAGCTGTTGAGTGGTTCAGCAGGAACTCGGAGGCCTGCTCTCCCAATAGACGCGGTGCAGCCGTTCTGCAGACCACATGGGTCCCGAAGACATGGCACTGCCTGCTGGGGACCCAGCAACTATTAATATACCTGCAGCCCGCCCAGGGACCTGCTGTCATTGCCCTTTCTGGCACATTTCGCCCGTGTGTGCCCCTCCCCTCTCCTGGGAGTCCCCTGGGTGGGGCTAGATGCTTGGGGGTACTACCAGCCCCCTCCTCCTGGCCCTTCTGTCTGACTGTGTCATCTGTGTGACTCCGAGGCATTCAGTAACCTGCCCCAGGTGATGGCAGGCTCCTGCTCTAGCATAGTTAAAAGGGACGTTGGCCAGCACTTCTTGGGCTCTGGACTCTCCTGCCCTCGGTCCGTGATGAGGGACAGGGAGCATGGATGGACACACAGGCCTACAGCCACCCCTGGCGGGCATGGGGAGCCGGGGTCTGAACCCAGGCCCATCCTCTTTCCCTCTTTGCAGGCCCTCGGGGTCTCCTCACATCATGAGGTTTTGGGGTGCATCTCGTCTGTCAGGCACCACACCAGCCCCTCAAGGCACACACCTGCCTATCCGCCCCCAGGCTGGGGCTAAGAGAGAAGCCTGGAATCAGTCTTGTGTCTCTGCTGTGTCCCTGCCTCTCCTACTGGCAGTGGGGGGTGTGAGAGAGGAACCCTTTCCCTGGTGGGGAGGTCCCTGGGTGGGTGGGTGTGCCCTCAGAGAGCCTTGTCCAAGGCCCTGCCCTGGCTTCCAAGTTCTACTCCTTTTCTCCATGCTGCCTCCGATGAGGGTCTACCTGGTGGGAAGGGCCAACTTGGGGTCAGACCAGTCCTGCCTGCTCTGTCCCCGTGTCTGATAAGATCCACATCAAGCCCTGCCCTGGGGCCCTCAGACCTTTGATGATGGGCTGGGGCCCCGCTAGGCCTCACTCCAGCTCCAAGTTCGCACCTTTCACTGCTGACTGGGGTGCCTTCTCCTGCCTGCCTGCTTAGGATGGGTGGGTCAGACCCCCCTCAGAGCCCTGCCCCTCTCAGCATTGCCCCCACGCACCACTGCCTGGGGCTCAGAGACTGGGGCTGGGGGTGCCTGGGCTGTCTGCTCTGGGCTCTGGGTGCTCAGAGCCTGGACAACGATGCTGTGTTGGACTGACGTAGTGGTGGCCTTGAACAAGGACTGGGTGGGCCTAATGGGAAGTAGGTGGAGAGGGGGGCTGGGGAAGTGGGGGCCGAGGTCTCAGGATTGGCTGGGGGTGGGTGCTGGAAGCTTCTCCGTCTCCAGACCCTTTCCACACTTAGAGTGAGGCTCTCTGCACCGGGAACCCCGGAATCTGTCACCTTCCCTGGGAACATGAACACACGAGGAAACTAATCCAGAGTGTCCCTTGCAGCTCAGAAGGGGAAATGGATGATCTATCTCACGGATTCTCAGAATAGCTGGGATTTCTCCAAGCCCAGGGAGCCCTGAGGGCTGCGCTGGGCCCTGGGCTGCCCGCTGACCTCTCCCCCTCCTCCTGGTGGACTGGCTCTTGCTCTGCACTGCGCTGGGAGCCGCTTCCGTGCCAGTCCTGGGCATCTCCCTTCCTGCCTTGCTGTTGGGGGTCCATGTCCACGGGAAAGCCTTACAGTTGGAGCCCCCCAGGCTTGGGGGGGGCTGCCCCCAGGCCCCCCCTCCCCAGGAGCTCTGTGGCGTGGCTCCTGGGGACTCCGTGTGGGGCAGTTTTATATTTAGCTGGGCCGTGGCTGCTGGGCCACTCAGGTTACATCTGCACAGAAGCTGGCAGTGCCAGGGCAGGCACGGGCTTCCTTCCAGCACCGCGGCAGAATTTGATCGCACCGGCCCGGCCCAGAGCGCCTCGCGTGGGGAGGTCTGTGGTGGGGGCTGACGGCCGGCAGCTGGGGACTCTGGCCGCTGCGGGCAGAGCGGGGCGGCATGGACCTGAGCGTGAGCTTGGTGGCCCGGGACAGCAGCCAGGGCCTCGGCCCCGGCTTTGGCCTCAACGGCCTCCCCCGGCCTGCGCCCCCCAAAGCGACCAAGAAACCTAAAAAGGCCGTTCTCTTCTTTGAGGTGGAGATTCTGGACGCCAAGACCCGGGAGAAGCTGTGCTTCCTCGACAAGGTAGGACCGGCCGTGGCGCCAGCTTCGTGGGCCTGAGGGTGCTGGGCCTGGGACCCCTCCTTTCCTGGGTTCTTGGCCCCCGGGGAGATGGATGTGCCCCTCCACTTGTGTCCTGACACCCACCGCCTGCCCTTCAGGGTGTGCAGGACGGGTGTGTCCCTGGGCCTGCCCCTGCCACCCGGCCCCTTGGGGCAGAGCGCCCTGTTCCCTGGGTGTGGTCCGGAGCTGGCCTTATGGTGCATGAGGAGGCCGCGCAGCTTCAGTGGACCCTGCAGGGCTCTGGGGCCTGGGAGGGAGGTGGGGTCCTGAGACCTGCCCCTTTCTGAGGCCAGGCCAGGGGACAGGGGTGGTCCCATCCCAGGGAGGTCTGGAACAAACTGAGGGCCTTCACTCTGGGAGGAGTTGTGGGTGGGGTGGAGAGGTGGGGCAAAGCAGGCTTGGCTTCTGTGCTCACACCATCTCCCAGCTGGTCCAGAGGCATCCTGGCTGCCTGGTTAAAATGGCCTTCCAGCCTATGGCTGTGGTGTCGGCCAGATGGGTTGGGGGGCTTGGTCTCCAACCCTCCCCCTCCCATAGCAATTGCCTAGGACCTCAGGCCATCCCACCTGCCCAAGAGAGATCCTGGGCCCCCGGCCCTCCAAACTCCCCGCCACGGCTGACTTGTCCCCGGCCTGTGCTTCCCCCAGGTGGAGCCCCAAGCCACCATTGCCGAAATCAAGAACCTTTTCACCAAGACACGTAAGTCCAGGGCCCAGCCACACGGCCCCCCTGTGACCCCTCTGGGCAGAGGCCTCTAGGTGGGACCCCATCCTGCCTGCCTCTCCCTCAAGGGCCTGCAGAGATGCCCCTGGTGTGGCCCAAGCCTCTCCGGGCTGGCCTGGGGCCGTCGCCCCCGTGTGGCCACCGGCAGGAACGCCCTTGCAGGGCTTCCGGAAGGACAACATCCCGCTTTGCCTGCGCTTCCGGTCCGTGTCCCGGAGCCACACCCGGGCCCAGAGGAGCCCACCAGGCCGTGTGCCTTGACACCCCACTCTCCCTACAGACCCACAGTGGTACCCCGCCCGCCAGTCCCTCCGCCTGGACCCCAGTGAGTACAGCTGTCTGCTGGGCTGCCCCCGGGCTGCCGGGTGGCCGTGGGCGAAGGCCCAGCAGCCCCTGAGCCCCGGCCCGACTCTCCTCAGAGGGCAAGTCCCTGAAGGATGAGGATGTCCTGCAGAAGCTGCCCGTGGGCACCACGGCCACACTCTACTTCCGGGACCTGGGAGCCCAGATCAGCTGGGTGACGGTGAGTGCCTAGCCCCCCCCCCCCCCCAGCAATCTCCCCTCCCCGCTGCCCCCAGGGTGACCACCCTCCCCTCCCCAGGTCTTCCTGACAGAGTACGCCGGACCCCTCTTCATCTACCTGCTCTTCTACTTCCGGGTGCCCTTCATCTATGGCCACAAATACGACTTCACGTCCAGTCGGCACACGGTGGTGCAGTGAGTGGGGCCAGCTGGGAGGAGGCGTGGGGGAGGGGGGCCCGCCAGACCCGCCCCCCGCTGAGCTGGCTCCCCACCCCCAGCCTCGCCTGCATCTGCCACTCATTCCACTACATCAAGCGCCTGCTGGAGACGCTCTTCGTGCACCGCTTCTCCCATGGCACCATGCCCTTGCGAAACATCTTTAAGGTGAGCCCCGAGCTGCCCATCAGTCCAGGTCCTTCAGCCCAGCCCAGCCCCGCCCTGCCCCATCCTCCCTGGTCCCCCTCACCTGGGTCCCGCCCTCCACGGGGCCTCCATCCCGCCCCACTCTTTCAGAACTGCACCTACTACTGGGGCTTCGCTGCGTGGATGGCCTATTACATCAACCACCCTCTCTACACACCCCCCAGTAAGTGGCCGGGGACCTGCTCCCCCTGGGAACACCCCCCCCCACCCCCCCCCGACTCTCCCCTCACGGGCCTCTCTTGGCCTCCTTTTCAGCCTACGGAGCTCAGCAGGTTAAACTGGCGCTCGCCATCTTTGTGGTAAGCAGGCCAGGATGGACAGCAGGGATGGGGGAGTCCGGGGGCCTCTGAGCTGATCCGCCTTCTCTCGACAGATCTGCCAGCTCGGCAACTTCTCCATCCACATGGCTCTCCGGGACCTGCGGCCGGCTGGTGAGTGGCCGGCAGTGGGCAGGGGTGTGGTCACCGGAGCAGGCCGGCCCTGGGGACTCATTGCTCCTGCCTTGTCCTCCCAGGGTCTAAGACCAGGAAGATCCCGTACCCCACCAAGAACCCCTTCACTTGGCTCTTCCTGCTGGTGTCCTGCCCCAACTACACCTATGAGGTGAGGGTCTGCCCTGGGCTTGGAGTCCCCTGGGGAGGGCTAGCTTTGGTGGGGGCCGCAGTGCCTGGCTCTGTAGCTGCTTTTGCAGTTTGAACTTTAACATTTGGCGAGGGAGACTGTGGCCTTTTAGAGGCCTAGGGTGGGCGGTTGTCAGGCTGGCAGCCTCACCATGCAGCCCCCACTTCACTCCTGGCTGCTCCAGCACTGGAGGTCGGTTGCCATCCCCTTCAGAGAAAATGGCCCCGAGGGTGGGGGAGGCTTCAACAGAACACCCCTGCCCGCCCTCATCTGGCCGTTCTCCCCACAGGTGGGGTCCTGGATCGGCTTTGCCATCATGACGCAGTGTCTCCCAGGTGAGCCTGGCCCCGTCCTTCCCGGGGGCCCCGTCTGCCCCGCAGCGTGCAGCCCGCTCCCCCTAACTCCCCTGTTCCCCCCACAGTGGCCCTCTTCTCCCTGGTGGGCTTCACCCAGATGACCATCTGGGCTAAAGGCAAGCACCGCAGCTACCTGAAGGAGTTCCGGGACTACCCGCCCCTGCGCATGCCCATTATCCCCTTCCTGCTCTGAACGGCGGCTCCCCACACCTGGGCTCGGCCAGGTCCGGCTCCTGTCCCGCCCCCCACTGCTGGAGGAAGAGTGGGGACCACTGCTTTCCAGGGTCTGGAATAAAACCTGCCTGCCCGGCTGGACTCGGACTCGGCCATGTTTCTTTGGGGTATTGGTTCAGGGACGAGCACACCACAGGCAGGCAGAGCTTGGGCCGCGGGGCCTGGAGGCTTTTATTTCTTGACTGGTCCGCAGAGTGGTGGGCAGGTTCGCTACAGGGCCACCTCGGGGGCCACCTCGCCAGGCCCCAGGCCTTTGGCCATGTCCGCCTCCCTCTGCTCCCGTCTCTTCTTCCGCTGCAGCAGCCGCCGCTCCCGCTCAAACTCCTTCATGCGCTTCACATAGCTGCAGGCAGAGCACAAGCAGGGGCGTTAGGACACAACCGTCCTGTGGCCCGGGAGCTGATGGGCCTATGTGCGTGGGGTGTCTCCCCGAGGAGGGAAGACCCGGGTGCCTGCGGATCAGGTCTGGGGCCCGCCCGCTACCTTGACACCACTGAGCCAAGAGCAAGGACTGGGCCTCCCACCTGGAACCCGGCTGGGCCACTCCTCCAGGCCCGCCTACCCGGCACCCCCTCGGCTTCCTCTTTCTACTAAAGGGGGGGGCCTGGCTAGAAACTCAGTGTGAGTTCACAGTCCTCTGCATCTGGAGTCAGGGGCCCAGGGCCCCACCGCGTGGGGATGTGGGGCGGGCTGGGGGCTCACTCGAGGTGCTCGCAGTAGTCCCAGTCGTGCTGCTCGTGCTTGCAGGCCAGGAAGTTGGGGAAGTTGTCGCGCTTGCACTTGAGAAACTGGATGAGGTAGTGGGCACAGTAGTCTCGTTGCTGGAGCACCAGCTGGGCGTCATTCATCTCCTGCTGAGTGGCCACCATCTCTGCAGGTGGAGGGGGAACCAGGGAAGCTCAGCCAAGGTGGCAGCATCCTTCTGATGTGCACAAAAGCAACAAGGGCAGAGTCCCTCTCCTGCCATCAACACCCACACCCACACGAGATTGTTGCCGCTCCACCCCCCAGGGTCACTCTCCAGACAGTCCTACCAGCAGAGCCTGCAATCCCCTCTGCTGGGCCCAATCCAGTGTTTGTGTGTATGTGAGTGTGTGTGGGGGGAAGGGGGCGGGCAGGCTGCCTGTGGACTTGAATCCCAGCTCTACCCTTGTTGGAGCTGTAACTTCTCAGCGCCTCAGCTTCTTCCCCTAATGCACAGACTTGGCTCTGAAGTGAGCTGAGCAATTACATGTAAAGTGCTTAAGTGCCCGCCTCTTGGAGAGCTGAACTAATAACCCTCAGGTCCTGCTGCCCCACCCACCTGGATGACCTGGATGAAATCAACCTTCATTCAACTGGGGCTCATCTGGGGCTCTAAGAAACGGTCAGGGCACACCCCAGTCTGTGCCGGCTGTGCTGGTGATCCTGAGCTCCGCCCCCTCTGGCAGGGGGGGCTCAGGACCAGCCTTCCTGCATCAAGGGAAGCACTCTCTCAGCTTACACCAGCATCTTTGTTGTCCCAGAAGGTCCTCACAAGTAGCCACAAGTCCTCACAAAGTTTCCACTGCTTACCTGCAATCCACTTCCACTGGCTCCTCTCCCCTCTGCTTCTCAGCCAAGTTTCTGTCTCACTCTGGCCCAGGGTCTGCCACCCACCAGCGTCCACACTCCACCCCAGCCCTGCCCACACACTGGCTCTTTCCAGAGCCATTCGGGACCCCAGGGAACCGTGCTTCCTCAGCCTCTTGCTTGCTTCTCTCTCGAACATTCTTTTCCCGCGGCCCTCATCTGCACCATACCCTCCCCAGGTTTCCCCCCATCTGTCTGGCTGTCCATCCATTTTCTGCCCAAAGCTGAAGCGCTGGCTTTTGGTGGTTCCTGCTAAGAGCTCTCTGCTCATTCTAATCTGTGACTTTGGTCTCCAGTCTGTAACCCAGACCCCAGCTCGGGCCCCCACCCTCAGCTCGTCTGAGCCCCAGGCCTCGTGTCCATCTGCTGTCTGTGATGGTTTCCATGTCAGTGTGCTGCCCCTCATACCAGATGCTTCCGCATAATCGATCAGCAGCCAGAATTGCTGGAGCACATACTGTGTGCTCGGTGCTGGGGACCCATGGGGAACATGTTATGCAAGAATGGACGCCTGCTCTCGGAGGAAGACACTGAACAAACATGCAGAGCGCGGGCAACGCTTGGTGCTGCACATGTGCGTGCATGCTCCCTCGTGTCTGACTGTGACCCCATGGACTCCTGTGTCCATGGGATTCTCCATGCAGGAATACTGGAGTGGGTTGCCATGCCTTCCAGGAGATCTTCCCAGGGATTGGGAATAATCCATGTCTCCTGCATTGGCAGGCAGATTCTTTACCACCAGTGCCACCTGGGTAGCCTGGACATACGCACGCTTATGGCTGATTCACGTTGTACAGCAGAAACCAACATTGTAAAGCAATTATCCTCCAATTAAAAACAAAGCAAAAACTCCAGCCCTGGTTCACAAAAGCCCTTTGAAACCAGGGGATGAGCAGAGACCCCCAGGGAGGGGTGAGAATGAGTGGAGACAGAAGGCAATGTGGATTTACACTGGGCATTTACAAGGCAGGGAGTTGGGGGGCAGTTGTTGGGTCTTGGAACAATGTGAAGAGGAGCCCCCAGGAAGGGCTGTGTCTGCTGCTGCTGTAATGGAGTTAAAACTAAGACTCTGAAATGGGGTTTTGCCAACACAGCAGAGTGGGGGTGGGGAGGAAGCCTGACCAGAGCCCTGTCAGTGAAGCTGGGGGAGACAGCTGGATGGGGAGGTGGGGCAGGAGAATATTTTAAAAACAGAAGAAATAACAGTGAATTTGCATGTTGATGGGAAAACCAATGTCCAATGAGAAGAGACTGGTTGGGACAGTGCTTGGGTGGGTGAGAGGATGGAACGAAGGGCATCAGAGGGTTCAGCTGGAGCAGAGGTTTAGCTGAAGCTGGGGCAGGTCGAGTACCGGGAGAGAAGGTGGAGTCCAGCGGGAAGCAGGGATGAAGGGAGCCCAAGAGAGTTTTGGCTGCATCTCTTTTCTTAACATTTTTTGGCTGTGCCTCGTGGCATGTGGGATCTTAGTTCCCCAACCAGGGATTGAACCCTTGTTCCCTGCCTTAGAAGTGCAGAGTCTTAACTGCTGGCATGTCAGAGAAGTCCCTGCATCTCTTTTCTTAAGAGGATGCCACGTGACAAGCTGAAAGGAGATGCTGGAGTCTGAGAGGGATGGCCTGACACTGGTTGAGGGGGAGCAAGAGAGAGCAAAGGGCCAAGGAATGTGACAGGAAAACCAGTGTGGCGTGAGGGGGCAAGTGGGGGAGCAATCAGGAGGCCGGTCAGGGAGGCTGAGTGTTTCTTTCCCACGATGTTCAGCTGCGCAGGGGCAGGAGCCAAGGACTCTTGTTAAGCCAGAGAGAGGGGGCAGGGTGGCGGCGGCTCTGGGCGTGTGCAAAACATTAAGGGAAAGAAGGGTGTATGAAGCAGTGGGAAAGACTGACACGGAGGTGGGCGTACTGATGGACTACAGGTTCCGGTGGGGCTGAAGGGACTACCAGGAGTCGAGATACCAGAGGAGTGTACCCTTCCACGTTGTCCTAAATCCAAACCTCGCTGCACCACCCCCGTTCCCTTAGGGGTCTCCCTGTCTCAAGTCATCGCCCACCAGGCAGCCAACAACGTGACCTTTTGACAAAACAAATCTGGTCGCGTGGCTCCTCAGCTTAGAAGCACGAAGCACTAAGGGGAGAGCCCGTCTCCTGAGTCTCGCGGTGGTCAGCTCCATCGCAAGCCCCTCAGGTCTCGCTTCCAGTTACAGCCCCCTGGAAGCCCTCCTTGATACTCCCAGGCGCCATCACGAAGACCCGCCAGGTTCCACGGTCTCCCCTACAGGACGGTGAGTTCTCTTTAGTCAGTGCCTGCTGTATCCTCGGTACCCAAACTGGCTTGGTCCAGGATTGGCGTTTGCTTTGTCTGTTATAGTAACTCATAAAAAAAGCACAGTGCAGGACAGCTTGTGCGGCGTGAGTCCCCCCCGCCCCCGTTCCCCCCGCTTGTGTTGTCCCGGGCATACCTAAAAAGAGCAGTGACATCTACCCAGAGCAACACTGAGCACATCTCTTCCGTGATAAACTCTCCCATGGCTCCCCACTCACTCCAGGACTAAGCCCAGGTTCGATCGCCTCATTTTAGCACCGCATCACTGCTCTCTTGCCCCCCCCCAGGCTTTTTGTTCAAACCGTGCCCTCTGCCTGCAATGCCTCCACACTCTGGCAAGGTCACGAACGTCCTCTGAATTCCTCCGGGCCGAGGTCAGGGCTGAACCCAGACACAGCGCACAATGCTTGAGCCCAGCAGTGAGGACTCCGAGGTTCAGGGGTTCCCGCACCGGTGCCCCACTCCCGCCGGCCGCTCCTGCGCATTGGGCCTCACCGCGTTCCTTGCGCTCGGGGAAGCCGTAGTCGGGCGGGAAGGTGGGCATCCGCAGGGGATCGGGCTCCACCGATGCATCGCCCAGGTATCTCCGGGCCAGGTGAGCCCCCATGGCTGCTGTCACCGCAGGTTCCAGCTGCAGCCGGGGTCACCTAATTCCTACCCGGAAGCATTCCCCCTAGGCCAGCTACGGCTTCCGGGTTGCTTGCGCCGCCGCAAGGATCAAAGAGATGAATGACTCCGGAGGACTTCAGGTAACTCTGGCGTCTTCTGGCGGCCGGGCGGAGACAGCAAGGCGCTTACCCCCTAGTCTGGCTACCGCCAGAGGGAGTCTTCCTGCCTCGGAAAATACATCTGGGCTGGGGAAGGGTGGACTACAGGAGCCTGGGGTCTCCTCCCACTCTCCCTGGGCGCCACTGGTCTCCTGAAGCTAGAGTACGAAGGAAAAATATATTTTATATCATAATTTAAAAAAGTTTTATTCTAACACATTCAAAGTTTTCATAAGCGCTTGCACAGTTGCTGATGATATAATTAGTGAATATAAAAGTTTTAAATAAAATTACTTAAAATTAATATTTTAATTTAAATAAACAAATACAAGTTATTTATCAATACGTTATTTATCAATACACTATTTATAAACTGAGGTTTTTTTAGAGAAATACTTTTATTTATTTGGTTATGCCAGGTCCTAGTTGCAGTATGAGAACTCTTAGTTGCAGCATATGGGATCTAGTTCCCTGACCAGGGAACAAACCCAGGGCCCCTGCATTGGGAACACAGAATCTTAGCCACTGCACCATCAGGGAAGTTCCTATTAAACTGAGCTTTTAAATAAATCCTACTGAATACTTTGTAAAAATGGAGCAAGTTGTGATTCTAGTATTCCTCTACTTGCCACTGTAAAGAATTGGTATTACATTTCACATCTGTTAGGTTAGCGCTTCTATATGTGTATATTTAAAAGTATTTTAAATATACACACACATATATATTTCTTAGTACTTCTTGGCCAAATGCTGCCTCCATGTGCAGCTGTAACAAATGCAAATGATGTGTTAATTTGTTACTATCTCTGGAACCTCAGCACAGGATTGGGACACAAAGGAAAAAAATTTCACTGGATGCTTGGCAGTGTTGGGAAATGATACTTGGCTGTGCAAGATTAGATTTCATTTGACAAGGTGCTGTGGGTTGAACTGTCTTCCACTGTCTGATCCCCCACCTCCTGCCAAATATATGTTGAAGTCTTTAACCACGGAGAATCTGTGAATGTGAACTTACTTGAAAACAGGGTTTTGCAGATGTAATCAAGTTAAGATGTGGTCATGACAGACTTGGGTGGGTCCTAATCTAATGACTGATGCCCTTCTTATAAAAGGGAAATGTTTTTAATTGTAATTTTATGTATTTATTTATGGCTGTGCACGGTCTTTGTTGCTGTGGGCTTTTTCTCTAGTTGCAGCAAGAGGGAGCTACTCTCCAGTTGTGGTGCACCGATTTCTCATTGCAGTGGCTTCTCTTGTTTCAGAGCACAGGCTGTAGGGGGCACTGGCTTCAATGGTTGCAGCTCCCTGCCTTTAGAGCACAGGTTCAGTAGTTGTGGCATATGGATCTAGTTGTTCCTCAGCATGTGGGATCTTCCTGGACCCAGGGATCGAACCCACGTCTCCTGCTTGATGGGGGGATTCTTTACTACTGAGCCACCAGGGAAGCCCTAAGAGTGAAATGTGGAAGCAGACAGACACCCAGAACATCATGTGATGCTGGAGGCAGAGGCTGGAGTGATGCATCTACAAGCCTCTTAACACCAAGGAACGTAGGCCAGGAAGGTTCTTCCCCCAGAGCCTTGGGAATGACCATGGCCCTGCTCACACCTTGTTTTGGACTTTCAGCCTCCAGAACTGTGAGACTATAACTTTTTCTTGTTTTAAGTCACCTGCTTTGTGGTACCTTGTTATGGCAGCCTTAGGACATGGAGATACATGATCATTTGTCTTTTCTCTTACCTAAACTTGGTTGGTTGGTTTAGTTGCTAAGTCATATCTGACTCTTGCGACCCCATGGACTGTAGCCCACCAGGCTCCTCAGTCCATGGGATTCTCCAGGCAAGAATACTAGAGTGGGTTGTCATTTCCTTCTCCAGGGGATCTTCCTGACCTGGGGATTGAACCCATGGCTCTTGCAGTGCAGGCAGATTCTCTACCAACTGAACCACCAGGGAAACTTAACACCTAAAGTTTTCTGGTGCCCAAATCCTCCTCATATTCCTAAGCAGCCTCTTTCCAGCATTGGCAGCTGCACAACCACATTCACACCCAGGAGGGCCCTCCTAGGGCCTGAGTGACATTGATACCAAGACATGTCATGTGTTTTTTATTTGTTTATTTTATTTTTTTGCCACACCGAGGCATGCAGGGTCTTAGTTCCCTGCCAGGGATCGAACCTGTGTCCAATGCAGTGGAAGCACAGAGTCTTAACTACTGGACCATCAGGGAATTCCCACAGATGCCATGTTTAGAGTTATGGTTGTTCTATGCAGGTTCCTTTGCAAGATCTCAGGTGACAGCGGCATCATGCATTCTTCAGTAAGCTTGTTTTGTGTTTGTAATATGTGTGGTTCTCTAAAGCAAGCCAGATCCCTCCACTTGGGCCAAGGGGGTTTCCTCTATTTAAGAGAACAGGTGTCCTGGATTAGAATGCTAGTTGTGTGGGCTGGGTGAGTGTATTTAGCTTTTTTGTAAAATGAAATATCATTTTTTATGTTGCAACATTAAACGTGTTAATTATATGAAGTACTTACAGCAGTTCTTGTCATGTTGTTTAGTCGCTCAGTTGTGTCCGACTCTTTTGCAATCCCATGGACTGTAGAGTGCCAGGGTCCTCTGTCCACAGGATTTCCCAGGCAAGAATACTGGAGTGGGCTGCCTTTCATTCTCCAGGGGATCTTCCCCTCCCAGGGATCAAACCTGCATCTCCTGCATTGGCAGGCGGATTCTTTACCATTGAGCCAAGAGGGAAGCCCAGTTCTTGGCACAGCATTAGATAAGTGTTACTTATTACTACTACATCTTTCTTTTATGAACAGCTGCATCAGATCTTGAGGACCCAGAGGTGAAGAAGAAGAGTGGGGCTGGATGGCGTCTGTCTCCATGCACACTCAGTCCCATGTGGGGCTTTAAATCCGACCTGCAGCAGGTTGAATCATGGTCCCCCAAAAGGTATGTCCATACCTTAATCTTGGAAACCTGTAAATGTGATCTTATTTGGAAAACATTCCTTTGCAAAGGTAATTAAGGATCTTTATATTGTCTTGGACTAATTTAATTTAATTCTTTGGCTCCAGGGACTTCCCTGGTGGTCCAGTGGTTGAGACTCTGTGCTCCCAATGCAGGTGGCCTGGGTTCGATCTCTGGTCAAGCAACTAGATCCCACATGCCACAAGTAAGGATTCACATGGCCTCAACTAAGACCAAGTGCAACCAAATAAATAAATAAATATGAAAAAAATCTCAGATCACTTTCCCCTTGCTCCCAAAGCCTCAGTTCTTTCTCATAAATATCCTGAGCTCCTCACCTTCAGGGAGGTGGGCTTGAGATTTGCTCCCCCTTCTCCTTGCTTGGCTGCCTTGTGAGTAAGCCCTTTCTCTGCTACAAATTTTGGTGTTTCAGGCTTGGCTTGTTGTGTGTCAGGCAAACAAACCTAGTACAGTAACGCAAGCTATAGAGGACAGTCCAGTGGGTGACTGAGCTTCCTTTCCAGGGCTACCTGTGACCTGTCCCCAGAACATGGTATAGATTTGTGATTCCTGTGCACTTCCTGACTCCAGGGGGCAGCATTCACGCTCTGGTCTTCGTGAATGGCACTCCTGGAGTTGTGCAGTGCACAACCCCCACAGCTGTACCAGGCCATCCTGTTCTGTGTGTCTCCTCTGACTCCCTTTCTCTGGGTGTCAGCCGCTCATTCAGAGGCCAGAGCAGGAGGGAGACCCAGAGAGGCAGATCAGGTACCCAGCTCACTCTCCCTGTGTGACCTTGGGAAGTGACTTCCCTTTCAAATATGCAGTTTACTCACCTGAAAAAATGGGTCCCTATTAAACAGCTCCTCCCCACTTCATGGTTTTATTTTCCTTGTTAGCACTTAGCACCCTCTAGCCTGAGATCCATTTGACTTATTTATCTTGTTTCCTGTTGGTCTCTTCTCTTGAATATCAGCTCTGAGGAGCAGGGAATCTTATCTGATTTGTTCACTGCTGTATTCCTGGAATACAGGAATGGAACTGACATACAGTAAGTGCTTAGTAAGTAGTTGTCAAAACCAAAGCAGGAATAAACGAACAGGGTGGTAGGGAGGAGTCAGTTTGATGGCTGTGTGAAACGTTTCCTGTCAGGCACCTAGGATGTGCCCCAAACACACTCACTACTATTATCTATCGAAGTGTTTATTAACTTTTTCTATTAAAAACTTTTTTTTTGGTTGTGCTAAGCAGCTTGTTAGATCTTAGTTTCGGGACCAGGGCTAGACACCCCCCTCTCCCGCCCCTCGTTGGAAGTGCCGAGTCTTAACCACTGGACCTCCAGGGAAGTCCCATCACTCTTATTATTTTACTTTGGCGCGCACTCTCTGACTAAAAGGCCCCCCAGAGGGGGCTCCCACGACCAGTCGACCAGTCGTCTCACTAGAGAATGAAGAGGTCCAAGTGAGGGGGTGGGGGAGGTGACTCTGGACTATTCTGTCCTGCAGGCCCAGGACTCAAATGTTTCAGCCTGGTCTGTCTATATGCAGAGTTGGGGGCGGGGGGGGGATCATATTAGAGTGAGTGAGGTATTAAGGGGTGAGGGAGGGGCCGGGCCTCAGTCACCCGTGCCCTACAGGCTTCCTGTTATTTTTTCTCTACCAGCCATCTGACAAGGAGCGCTTACGGGTTCCCCGCCCGTGTTCCCTGCATCGCAGCGCACAGCTTCCCCGCCCCTCCTTCCTCCCTTCCAGGCTGCGCCAGCTGCCCCGCGCCGCCCACTCGGCCCCAGGCAGGGGCTGTATTCGAGTTGTGGGCAGGTCGGCCTCAGAGGCCCCAGGTGGGGCTGAGGATGGAGAGAAAATTCTGGGTG